TTATTATTATTATTATTATTATTATTATTATTATTATTATTATTATTATTATTATTATTATTATTATTATTATTTGTCATATATACTAAATAATTACAAACAATTTTGATTTTTGATTTCGGTTTGGGTTTCGAAAACTAACACTATTATGTTTCATTTTTCGGAAGTTTCAAATTTTCTTATTGATTTCGTCATCATGTATGTTGATTGATTGTATTAATTCGATTATCAAGAGAGAGAACATATTAATATTGGACAAAACCATTCACATCAGAATTCTGGTGTGCGCCTAGGTGTTCTATTCGGATCAAAACCAATGATCGTAATGAGTATTATAATTACATTTAATGATTATTCGAATAAATTTTTACCCAAACAATAAGTAAGATTTCTTGTTAGAGATGGATGATATTCAAATCAATCATTCAAATCAAGACATGTATTATTATATTTGTTACACGAAAAACTGTATTAATATTAAATTAATTAATTGATTAATTTGATACATTTTGTCTAACCGATGGAGAGTCCTCTCCCTTATAAGACTGGCGTATAATAAATAATCTATTTTTATTAATAAGTTTTTTTTGAGATTTTCCAAAAACTGATTTGACAGTAATAAATCAAAAAAAAAAAAAAACCAATGGAAGTTGCCAAGTTGCTGATCTGCATTTCTGTGTATTGAGGTCTAAATATACACATGGACCTTTTATAGCAAAAACCGAGGTCAACTAACCAAAATTGTATCTTTTTAACGTAAAAGATTATATAATAAGGCCCTGTTTGCTTGATAAAAACGAATAATTGGGTAACAAAGGGTTTCTTTAATTAAGTTTTTATGTATTTCATTCATTGAGATTTACTTGTAATCATTTTGTGACACAAAGTATAATACAAGTAAAGTTAGATTAAAAAAATGAATTTTTTTTTTATATATGGTATTTTTATTTTTTCATCACGGGCTGCTGATTCAGCAATTAAGTTTTAATTCCATATTTGATGGAACATCATTTTATATAAATTTTGAGTGGGTTGCATTTAAAAAAAATTCTAAAAATAAAACAATGTTTACAAACAATATTTTGATTCGATACGAATTTGGGCTTTTTTTTAATTCACTTTTATAAATAATTTGCCACTCATTACTCGTTATAATGGAAAAAAGAAAGGTCACATATGAAACTAGGGGTTGATTTTAACAAGCTCCGGCAGTACGACTGTTTGTGAAAAACAAAAACAAACATTTATAATTCTTTGATATGGAATAGCATCTTCACCAAGTAAGTATGTTATGCATACATATATAATAAAAATCTATAATTATAATTATGTTTATAAAAATAATAATATAAAAGACACATACAATGAATGAATGTTTAAATATTTAATTTTTTGACCATTTTTTTATTTGGTCCTTTATTTAAAAATGAATAATTACTATTCTCGAGCACCATTACTATTATTATTATTATTATTATTATTATTAACACCTTTCAATATTAAAAATGTTTCTTCCGTGCCAGCACCACCTTCTTCTGGATTTAAATGTTACGATAGTGAAGGTTCAAATAAATTAAAATTAGTTGATTGTTCATTATTTAAAGAAAATCCAAAAAAAAACACCAAAAGACAAGTTGGGAATAATGAAATGTTTATAACTGAAATTGATTGTCAAAGTCCAAAGGCAGGTTTTTGCGACAAAGCTAAAGCGGCTTTGGAGACTGCAGGAAAAATTATTAGTGATGTTATAAAATTCACTGAACCAATAATTACAAAAACTACTTTTAAACCATTAGGTGTAGATATATTAGGTAATAATAATAATAATAATAGCAACAACAACAACAACAATAATAATTTTTAATTTTTTTAAAAAATTTTCTTTAAAGAAAAAAATTTTCTGTTTATTTATTAGGTTCAGGATGTCCATCCAGATTTATTGGGTTGAAAGGTGGAGATGGAGTAGTTAGACTGTATCCACAGTCATTAGTGAAACAATTCGGACTTGCAACACATCCGGAATTTTTACCTGCTGACATAACACTAACTTTTAGTTCTGATTATGATTTTTGGTTTGAGGATGATGTAACACCAATCGCAAGGACTCAAATGGATTTTTTATCAGTGGTGTTACACGAACTAATACACGGGATGGGATTTGTATCATTATGGCAATCTTATTCACCCGATGGAACAACAGGATTGACACCATACATCCATAGAATACCTTCAGATGGTACTTTTACTCCATTTCCTCCTCTTTCAACATCTGATAATGCAATAACATTTAATGGATTTATTGAGAGCATATTTGATAGATTTATAATATCGCTACCAAGCGGTACGCCGTTATCCAGTTTCACAAGTGAATTAAATAAATTTGCACCAATAGGCGCACAATTCGCATCGATGGATGATTTTCTAACCAGTTTTAAAGCATCTGCTCAGTATGAAATTGCAGCTGATATGTTAGAAACAAGCACAACAGCTTTATCATTAGGTTTCTTAGCAAAAGGTATTGATTATCAAGCAAGTTCAACAAATGACGTGCCCGATGATCGATTGTTGTACTTGGAAACCAATATACAACCTTATAGTCAATCATCAAGTATCAGTCACGCGAGTCAAGACTTGTATGCAGAAACCAGGGAATTTTTAATGACTTTTGCACAATTTACAGGTAGAACATTAGAAGATGCAATCAATAATACCGGAGGTTATGTTGGAGGAGCAATTGGACCTAAACTTAAATCTATTTTAGAATCAATGGGCTATATGACTGTAGATAATCTAGCTCCAGAAATTCCAACTTTGCCTGATTTACCAATAGTCTTAAAATAAATCCATTGATCGATGACGATTCTTTTGAAGATCAGTCGATAAACGATTTTCGTGTATTTTCTGTATTTTCCGAAAATTGAGTAATCGACGCTAAAAGGATGAATGAATGTGTGTGTTGTCTTCAATCTCTGTTTGCATTGTAGAAAACTTCAAGGTTAATAAGGAAAGAGAGGAAATTCTTTGAGCTAAATATCTTTAAGTGGATTTTCTGAAAGCTCTTATTGATTTTGGCAATCATGTGTAAATTCTCCATTATTTTCGAGTAGTTTAGTTTTTAAATGAGCGAATTTTATTTTCAATTCTTGTAAATTTCAACCCCCCTTTTTTAATAATAAAACGAAGACATTATTAGTTTAAAGATTTAAATACTAAAATTCATATACTGCCTCATTTCCATTTCCGTATACTTTTTCGTATACTTTTCCTTATTATTGTAACAAGTATAGATATTTATTTATCAATGAAACCTATTTATTATAAACTTCAAAATCAATATTATCCATATACTTTGCTTAATAATAAATTATGACTACCATCGAAGAGGAGAAGTTAGAAAAGGAGGAAAGAAGAAATTGGAAGCTAAAGATATGAATTGAAGGAAAGCAGGTACTTGAATTCTTGGATTAAATTTAAAGCTTTGTATTGATATTAGAACAAGTAAATAAAGCTTTTACCACTCCTTTTAGATATGTACCTTGTATATAATAGCTAATGCATTGTTGAAAATAACTGTCTATTGAAGAAATATTGACATGGGGAGAGTGAATCGTCAAGGCATTCCTCACTAAATGCAATTATTAAAATAAAACTTGGAGCATTATAATGATGAATTTTTAATTTATGGTATAAAAGTTTTGATAATTATTGAATAATTGGATTTATCTTGTGATAATGGTGACTTTGTATATCAATAATAGATAATGATAATATGATAATAATAGTAATCATTAACGAGGCTATGTTTCCATCAGTAACTTTAATTCGAATATTGAATTAGTGACCCTAATACTAAAAATATTGGGACAGATCTTGCCAATAACTCATCCTAAATTAAAGGAATTAATTACAATTGAAAAATGCAAATTCTCCACCTAATGTATGTTTCAAAATACTAAAAAACAAATTATAAGAAAATGTTCACCCTTATCTGATAGAGAAACACTCACGTGTATATAGATACAGGGAAAAAATTGAAAATGAAGATATTTAAAGTGGCACTTTACAACAATTTTCAAAGCGACCCAGATTTATATACCATATAATCAATTAATTACTTATTTGCATAATTATAAATTATCGCTTTGTCACAATTAATATTGTCAATAGGCTCTTGGAGCAATTCAAATCGATATTTATCATCAATCAAATGGTTTTAATGACTGCTAATAATATCCAATCAGTAAGATTACTTGAATCAATGACTAATAAGAATAGACAATCACATGAAATAAAATCAATCTCTCCAGAAGATTTAAGAGAACAAGCAACAAGATGTTAATTCACCAATAAAGAATTTTTTTGCAGTTTCAAATCCTTGCCTTCCTTCTTCTATAGAAATAACTGATTCTTCTTCATTCATGTTCAGGTTGCCAGATGGATTTATAAAAGAGGCATGACTGTAAAATTATTGCACTAACCACAGACAATGAATCTACAATGATTGTTATGTGGAAGAGAAATTGCAAATGCCCTTAATACTGAACTTTCTTCAATGAATTTTTTACATTATCGTTGTGCAGCACAAAGATTACAACTAATTGGTGACTCAGTTGATAAAGGAACTAATGATCAAAATCAAAATTCAACTTTCCTTTGTGATAAACTTTGCATTTTCTGTAATGTAAAAGAAATAATTTATCATAAACCCATTTTGGATGTGGAGGCTCGCTAAAACTCAACATATTACACGTTAAAATGTTTGGAAAAACTTCTGCCGGCACTGGTCTTACTTGCTACTGATAATGGCGATGTTGGGATCTTTACCCTAATGAAGATGATTTAACTATAATTAAGTAGGCTGGATCTTTAAAACCCGTTTCAATCTGATCAGGAAATGTTAATAATAAATTTTCAATTCTCTCTCACTTTCTCTATAATAATTAATAATTATTTTCAAATTCGACAAAAAAAATTATTTATTCTTTAACTAATTAATAATTTATCATGTTCTATAGGATACTCTCCTGTTTCTTGAACCTTTGGAAAAAGCTACAAAACACCTTTCAGCATCATAATATTTAACCATGGGTGATACTCATTTATTTTTGAATGCATCTAGAAGAACAAATGGGAATTACTGTATTTAAATGATTCAGCCAAATATTTCTTGTCATCAAAAGTCAATATTTTTCGTTTTTCTAGCATCATTTTACTTTTTATTGCGGTTTTTTCTGTTGCTGATAACTAATGATAGTGTTGGTGATTCTGTTCTATAAATAAACATTAGAAATTTTGTTTGGAAAAGCAAAATCTACTATTACTATGGTTAGCATAGTGGAAATTTTAAAATATTACACTAATTTTTTATATTGTGCAACGTAGCTTTACAATACACGGCAAACATTCTGGCAATAAAAAGTAAGTGATAAACTGGATCTGAACTTGATCTCCAATTTAGATACGTATATACTGGTGAGGTTTCAGGAGCAATGGGTTCTGTATAACATTTCGTGTAACAACAAACTTCCACTATGTTACTATGGTTAGTGGAGAATTTATAGATTTACAATTATTATTGACATTCTTGATCATATATAATGAACACAAGGATTGTAAGATTCACGTGGAACTCTAACTTCTTTTGATGAGATAAGCTTGCTACTATTATTATCTCCATTCGTAATAATCTTGGGTTAGGGAAATTCTACATTTTACAAACATAATAGTCACACCTCCAATTTGAATTTGACAATATCTACCTTGCGAAAACTGAGATGAGTTAGTGATCCCGAAAACAAAGACTTCACTCTTAAAAAAATCAAAACTAAACTCAAAAAGAGAGTAACCCTTTGAGCCATCAACTCTTAATATGCGCAACCAAGTAAATGAACAAATGAATGAAGGAATGGATTAAGGATGAATTGACGAATGAGAGAATGCCAATTACTTGATAATTTATTCTTGTTTCTTTTCATCTTGAGTTCCCCCAAAGAAGTAATATATCTGTACAATGATTTATAACAAGTTTATTTGATGAGAATTACGATTATTAGTATTTTTTGAACCGCTAAAATTATAAACATATTCACTATAATCTTTGATTCAATTAATAATAAATAATAGTAATAATTGCTTTAATTAGTTTCATGCTTTCTTTTAAAATTTTTGCTACATGATTAATTTCCAATAATATCATATTGTTGTTATTATTATGTATAAGAAAAAAACAACAAAAAAAATCATATGCTAAAAAAAATTATTATTTTGTTTGTGCTTTTGTTTAGTTTTGAATTTATGTTTATGATTTAACATTTAGTCAAATCTTCTAATAAGCCATTTTTTATATCAAA